CAGTTAGTAGTCAGATGTCAGAGATGCCAATGTGGTGCTGCCCTCATGATCATACCTTAAAACCAAAAGATCTGTGTCCCAGCTGTGGAAAACAGGTAGACTAGACCTGTCCTGGGTCTGGCTTTACCAAACTCTGCCTCATGTGGCTTTTGAGCTGGAGTAATGGGTGCTGAGAAGTGTCTTCCTCTGCTGGTGTGTCTTTAGATTTCTTCCTGAGTGTTCAGGAACTTCACACAGCACTTTCTCAGCATAGGCCTTCAAGAATAAACATGAGTCCAGATCAGACCACTCTCATGTGGGAGTTTCCTGGGAGCCTGCAAAATTGGAACAATCAGCTGATCTTCAATATTCATTCATGTAAGGATTTGAACTTTATGTCTCCCTAGATAGCACAGGCTGAAAGGGATCTTGAAAGATGGAGACCATAATGGCAGAAGGTGTGAAGAAATGCTTCTAGGTGAAGGTGCCTTAGAAGAGGTGGAGCAGAGATCCTCGTTCTAGGCACAGGGCAACAAGAACAATTTGGATACTCAAGCTTTGTCACACCGGATCAGAAGAAACTGACGAATTTAGAATTGGACCAATAGGTGGAATGCAGAGGCCAGTGGGAGGAAGTTGGCTTGGGAAGAGCTGCAAAGGGAGCTGCCACAGCTGAAGGGAGAGGCGTCAGACACGTGTCTCTTCTTGCACCTTCCTCCCTCAGGAAAATATCTTCCTGAGTACTTCATGTGATACATGCACTGCAGGAAACCCGCTAAGAGTACCACTAAGCCTCTGGCCTCCTGCTTCTGTTTCTCCTCCTACCACTCTTGGCCCAGCCCAGATCTCCCTGTAGCTGCCTCTGAGAGTCTAGACATGGCTGGCCAATCATGGTGATTAGTCTCAATCTAACCTCAGGAAAATCATTCAGTGAAGACAACCACAGAGGTCAATGTGCCTGCCTTTCCCAATCTTACAGAGAACCAATCCAGTCATTTTTCCCTTGGTCTTTTCAGACCTTTCCTACTCACTCCACCCCCACACTGCTATCTGCCCATCATGGACTCTGGGTAACACTTCCCTGGGCAGACAATCAGAAGGGAGCTTACCCTCCTACCCTCCATCTCTATTTACATCTATATCTTTAGACCCACTGAACAACACAGGTCCTACCCAAAGCTAATTTTGTCCCTATCTCCCCTTCTTAGTATCATTTTTAGGAATGCTCCTGTCTCTGACTTCATCAGTTTCCCTTGCTCTCTCCTTTGGGATTATGGCCACCTGCATGTAACAACACCAACATGGGGTGTCTTGTGTCAAGGAGATGCTTCCCTGCAACTCCATTGCTCTTCAGCACTGCTATAGTCCTTATCTAGGCCAACTGAGGTCCATGCTGGTTGAGGGTTTGCTCCTGGCTCAACCACCTGCAAACACAGGAATCTAATACAATGATGAAAAGCAAACAGGGCATTTGGTCACAGGCATTTCATTGCCACAAAGTTCATAGGTGGATAATCTTACTCTTTAAATCTGAATGGGTCTTGGCATATTGCCTGATCAATTTTGAGTTCTTTTGAGTAAATTCTTAAGGTCTCTGGAAGGAAGGAACAGGGGTTTACCATTCAGGTCAAAGCACATGAGTTGGGAAGCCATCACTGTGTGACCCACCTGGCCCCAAGTAGTCTAACTTCTCAAAGTGCCCCAAATTTCACAGAAACCAGAGAGCCTCCTTGAGCCGTTTTTATAAACTCTGTTTTGAGTAAAAGACAGAAATCCATCAAACAGCACACAGATTAACTTATCACCCAGTTAAATGGGCTGTCAGTGTGGGGCGGCTGAGCCTGGCCCACTGAATTCAAATGCATGTAAATTTCCCTTGTGGCAAGAGAGAGGATGGCAGAGCTGTCAGCCAGTGACATGTGGAAATACATTAACGGTGTTTAAAATATATTTGAAGGGGCTGGCTCATATTTTGATAACACACTCGCCGACAAATGATTTGTGGGAGATAGAAAGCCTGACCTCATCTCTATTCCAGAGGAGTCTTTGTAACGAGTCCCTCCCAGGATGTTGGGGGTTTCAGAGAAGTTGACAATTAACAATGCCTGTCTAAACCACCAAGGTCCCCTGTGCTGCTGTTGTATGCAGCGAGCTTTTTCCAGCCCTACCTGTCGGCGTCACTCCAGCTCACAAAAAGAAGGGATTACCAGTTTCAAAAGAGCCAGTTACAGTGTGGTGTGCACCTGTGCTACTCCCCATAGCCCCAACAAAGGCAGATCTTCTCAGTTCTCGGTACTTAGCCAGAGAGTGGGTATCATCGGCTGAGTACGATTATCCTCAGGTGAGGACAGGACTGTGCACGGTCCTGTCAGAAATAAGGATTGTATAGGAAAAGCAAAGATGGCTACCGTGACGCTTTGAGGAAAAATTTCAGTTTTTATAGTTTTTGATCCCAATTAATTCTTGTCCTCTTCTTTCATAAGCTAGGATCTACCTCTCCCCAGATTTTATACCTTGTTGGTTTAGAACACAGAGCCTTGTCTAATGAATAAGCTGTGACTTTCCATCTCAGAGTTCTGAAACAAGCTAGCTCCAGCTGTCAGAGAAGAGAAAAAAGGGATCTACCTCTTCCTACTTATCTGTAATCCTGATGAAGTTGAAACTTTGCCTTCTACTGCAAATGGACCGCAAAGAGTGATTTTTTAGAGTCCTGTACCTGACCACCAAGATGTGTGATCATTGAATGGTAAATGTAGCTCTCTAACAGCCACCTCCCCAGTATCAATGGCTTGAGTCCTACAAAGGCCAGAGTATTAGTCAGAATTCTCTAGAGAAGCAGAACTTATAGGATGGATTTCTAAATGTATAGAAAGGTTTTTATTAGAAAAAAACCCTTTTATTACAGGCTGTTTTTATTACAGGCTGTGGTCCAGCTAGTCCAACAATGTCTGTCGACCAGTGGAAGATCCAAGAATTCAATAGTTGTTCAGTCCATGATGCTGGATGTCTTAGTTGGTCTTCCATATATGCTGAAATCCTGAAGAAGTAAACTTGAATGCCCAATGGGGAAATGGACTTGTTAGAGAGACCAAGAAGACCAAGCAGACAAAGAGAGAGCAATTTTCCTTTTTCTATGTCCTTTATGTAGGCTTCCAGCAGTAGATGTGGCTTAGATTAAATGTGTATCTTCCACCTCAAAGATTCAAATTAGAAGTGGGTCTTCTGCAAAGTGAAGGACACTGTCAATAGAACAAAACAACAGCAGAATGAATGGGAAAAGATCTTTATTAATCCAATATCAGACAGAGGGCTAATATCCAAAATATATAAAGAACTCAAGAAATTAAACTCCAGCAAACCAAAAATATCCAACTAAAAATGGGTTACAGAACCAAACAGAGAATTCTCAACAGAGGAATAATGAATGGCAAAGAAACATTTAAAGAAATGTTCAACGGCCTTAGTCATCAGGGAAATTCAAATCAAAACAACTCTGAGATTCCATCTTAAACCCATCAGAATTACTAAGATCAAAAACTCAAGTGATGATGACGATGTGGGGAAAGGTGAATACTCTTCCATTGCTGGTGGGTGTGCAAACTTGTATAACCTCTTTGGAAACCAATCTGGTGCTTTCTCAGACAATTAGGAATAGTCCTACCTCAAGACCCAGCTATACCACTCCTGGGCATATACCCAAAAGATGTTCCACCATTCAACAAGGACATTTGCTCAACTATATTCATAGCAGCTTTAGTCATAATAGCCACAATCTGGAAACAACTTAGATGTCCCTCATCTGAAGAATTAATATAGAAATTATGGTATATTTACATAATGGAATACTACTCAGCTCTTAAAAACAAGGAAATCATGAAATTTACAGGCAAATGATGGAACTAGAAAAGATGATCCTGAGTGAGATAACCTAGAACCAGAAAGACATGCATGTTATATACTCACTTTAAAGCAGATATTAGCCATATAATACAGGATAACCATACTACAGTCCACAGACCTAAGGAAGCTAAACAAGGAGGACCCTAGGGAGGATGCTTAATTCTCATTCAGAAGGGCAAATAGAATAGACAGTGGAAGTGGCTGAAGAGAGGTAATGGGGGAGGGAGACAGGGAAGGCCTACCATAGATGTCCTCTGAGAGACTGACCCAGCAGGGGATCAAAGCCAATGTTAAGACTCATAGCCAAACTTTGTGAAGAGCACAGAGAGTCCTAGGAAAGAATGGGGAGATAGAAGAACTTGGAGAGGGACAGGAGCTCCATAAGAAGACCAACCAACAAAGCCAACAAATCTGGGTCCAGGAGAGCCTCCAGAGATGGATGCTCCAAGAAAGGACCATGTAGAGAGTGGACATAGTAGCCCTGTTTAAATGTAGCTGATAGACAGCTCAGTCTCCATGTGGGTTCCCTAGTAAGAGGAGCAGGGGCTATCTCTGACATGGACTCTGTTGCCCATTCTTTGATCACTTCCCCTGATGGTTGGGCCTTGCTAGACCACAGAGGAAGAGGATGCAGGCAGTCCTAATGAAACTTTGATAGGCTGGGGTCAGATGGTAGGAGAGGAGGGCTACCCCTTTCTGAGGAATAGGGAAGGGAGCTGGGAGGGGAGAGGGAGAAAGGGTGGACTAAGAGGTGATGAGGGAGGGGGCTACCATCATGATATAAGGTGATAAATTATAAAAAGTAAATTTAAATAAAAAGTGGCTCTTCCCACTTTAAATGATTTAGTTAAGGAAAAAAAAATCCCTCATAAGTGTGCACCACCCCATTTGAGCTTTAGTTAATTCTAGAGGTAGTCAAGTTGACAACCAAGAATAGCCATAACAAGTGATTTATTTCATACCCAGAGTCCCTTCATGTTCTCCTAGCCACATTGAGTCCAGGAGTCCTTATTTCACACCAATCTCTAACTCTCTCTCTTTTTGAGTATCACCAAAGTTTATTTAGCAAAAAGTATGAAAATGTACATGATCCAATTCTACATCACAATCAAAAAGGCCCTTTAAGGAGGGATGTGGATGCCTTTTCTGAACAGATAGCGTTTAGACTGTTCCAAGGCTTCTAACATGATGCCGCTGTCTCCTAATATGACCACCATTCCGATGTTATTCTGTTGCCCACGAGTTGCCATCTCCACACACTCATCAATCACAAGATTCATAAAAGGATCAAAGCCCTGTGTTATTCCATGTACATGGCTGCCACCATATAACTTTAATGATAACTTCTTGTCCATAAATTTCTTCAGCTCAGGAGGGTGGGCCTTACTTATGATGACTCCTCAGTGGGCTCTGTACCAAACTCTAACTCTTAAGGTCTCCACCACAACTAGCTGCCTTCAAAACCAGGCTCCTTTGGACGCCCTTACCCAACAAAGAAAGAGCTGTGCTGTGGCTAGGCTCTTATTATGTGGCCTTTTCTGGGGAGACATGAACAAACTTCTGTATATCCCAGAATGGCATGGGAAGCAGAGCAGTTGGAGCTTAATTGGTGAATGGGTCAGAGTTGCCTACAGAAAGAAAGGGGGCAGGTTTGGTTGGATAGGTGTTTTGAAAGAGGGATAAATAGGGATTGATGGAAGAGTCCTAGGTTCCTCTTTTGACAATATACTTGGTGGTTATATTTGGATGATTCAGGTCAGCAAGCCGGGAGGAACACAAAGATATACCCAGTAGGGGTTATTGACTTATCTGAGGTTCAAAAGAAATCAGGCAGGCTCCTTATCTATGTCCTCTTCATGTGGATGAGAATGGAAAATGTAGGGCTGGTGTTAAGAGAAGGCCACATAGGTGTATACAATTAATTGCTTCTCCCACTGTATACAGACCATATTGTTAGATTTTTGTTACTCTTACCCTTTCCTCAACTAATATATCTCCATGTCATGCTGCCTCAAAGTTTAGTGTCTTGTCATCTAAATCAGATCTAGATGTGGTTGAGATGCTGCATTTTTGTGACTGCTAAGAACTGAAAGGAATGTGAAGAGTCAGCCCACAGCACCACACATGGTGTCGGGAGCCACTCCCGCCATTACAAGATGGCGCCGGTTTCCTGCTTCCTGGTTCTTCTTGCCAGCATTGTTTTGCGATCTGCGCATGCGCCGCCTTATGCTAATGTAGGCTTGTGTGGTCCTCCATTTGGAGACCACATGCTAGTTGGGTTTTGTGTGGAGCACCAATTACAGACGAACAAGTCACCCTGCTGGCTACTTAAGCAGAACGCACACAGGGTTCGGGGTCCTTCTCCATCTGCTGTTAAGAGCCTCACAATAAAGTTGCTGCTGGACAAATCCATTGTTGCTGCGTCGTCCTTATCGGTGAGGGCTGCGCGCGACAACATGGGAATTGAAAGCAGGGGGCCCACCATAGAAAAGTCATGCCGGTTGGAGTTGGGGTGACAGGAAGCTGTTGTGTGATTTTTTTTTTCATGGATAGTTAGAAACAAATGTCTATACACCCTAGTTAGGCACCAACCAAAGAAACAGTGTCCTTATTCAGCTTGATGATCTAATAGGAATGTGTACAGGGGTTTGGGTGAAGGGCCATTTACAGGCATGTGGGTGAGCCTGGGTGACTCAAAGGCAGCCACATAGCTGAAAGGACCACCTCAACATGGGTGATTACTAAGAAAGCCACATTGCTATAGCTCTCTGCTCAACTTTCAGGTGGTGCCATTGAAAAGTCTTCTTTCCCTAGCAACTATTACTGCTTCTATAACTTTGGGGAGGGGTATGGCATCCCTTACAAGTTTCCTGTTTCCTGAGCCTTATGAGCTCCCTCTCCTAAGCGGGGGTGGGGTGGGATGGATTTCTCACTTTCGTGAAGAGAGGACACAAGAGAAGCCTTGGCATGACCAGTCAACTCAACCCCAGGTAGGAAACTCCTTGCAAATTCTTAGGTTAGGGAACTATCATATTCCCTGAGATTGACTTCTTCTGCTTGTGTGAAGCACCCAGGTCTGGTTTCTGCGTTCCTTTGTAAAATGGCTAGGTTGATCTTGGTAGTCTTCAAGCCGGCTTATGAACTTCTACACTTGGCAGCCCCAGTGGTTTCATCTGGATTCTTTCATCCCTGTCAGTCCAGGTGAGCTATGCTTCCACTAGTGCAATTCTCTTAAAAACACCTTCGGTTTCCTGTCAGCCTTCCTGAAGTTTATTCCACCAAGCAGTGGACATGCTGTCTTCTAGTCAGGTGCTACATGGGCCAGTTTGTCTGCTAGTGTGCTGTGAGGTGTGGACACTCCGCCTTCTGTGAAAAAAAAAAAAAGGGAGGGGGCAGATAAGGCATTTATACCCACTCTGTGAAGGTCTGAGCAGAGCATCTTACAGATACATTTTTGACTTCTTTGTCTTGCTTTACTACCCTAGACCTTTCTTGGGTTTGACAGGTTTGGAGGCCATTTCTTATTTGGAAAACCTTTTGTCAGCTGTAAAGACTGTTACTAGGTTCTCTATAAATTCCCACTTTCTTGACCATTTCGTCTGTCTTTCCTTGTTTTATAATATCTGCCCCCAAAATGCCAGGTGGGACTTGAATCATCCACAGGACAGATGTAGATAGGTACCACTGAGATTTCACATCAGGTGTGTTTCTGCCCTCAGTGAAACTGAAGCTTTCAAGCAAGACATGATAGAATGACACCACAGTTGTATGATTGATTTCTGCTATGGCCATCTAAGAGGCCTAACTACTGATAGAAAAATAGTGACAGAGAAGATCCCAGGTTCTGGCTTGGAGCCCCAGCAGGAAGCATCCGAGAAAGCAACAAGAACTCAGTGGGTGACTCAATGGCAGACTCCACAAAGCTAGAGAGGAAACTGGGGAACTGGAACACAGTTCTCCCCAACCAATCATCAGGCTCATGCCAAGAGGCATTAGCTAATGCCCCTCTCCTGTGTTTAGAATAGCATAAGGGTGGTCTGAGAAATGTGTGTGACACAATGTAAAGGTGTAAGCAGTAATTTATACTGAGATGTTTTTCAGAGAGCTGGATGGAGTTAACATAGGATCCCATTAAAAGACATACTACGTGATGTTCTTCAAGAATAATAAGAATGGTCACATGAAGCGGCTTAGAGATGCAGGAAAACAGAAACAAAGGAATCCAAGATGGGCATAGGCAGAAAACCCAGTAATAATATGCACAGTGCTGTGCTACATATGAGACCTACAGGAGACTGTACTTCTACTCTATTTCATCATAGAATTATGTAGACTGTTTCTTATATGAGCATTTTCAATAAGAGTAAGCTATTGAAAAATCACCACTGGAGCTCCACTTCACAAAAGGGTGAGTGAGGAAGTCAAATGTTACAGTCTTCTGGAGAGTGGTTGTCATATTCTAGTCATACAAGTATATATAGACACTGCTGGAAAATGAACAGTGAGATGTGAAATTGACCGACTGAATGCCAGAATGAAAAAGATAAAAAGAAACCAAACCAAAAGAAAGAGAAAGGGAGGGAGAGAGACACGAACACATTAGTGGGGACAAATGATAGACTGAGCGTGCTGGAGGCTGCAGCTGGATTAAAATCCCCATCACCAAACTGGATGAAACATAGGCACAGCAAACTGTTAGCAGAAAATGGGTTTATGTGTAAACAGGAGGAAAGCTGGACAGGAGGTACCAAAATATCCCATGAGGACACCATGCAAAGAAAACTTGTGTAGTTAGGTTAGTGCCAAGGATGGAGATGGCAGGGTATTGTCAAAAGTAAAGTAGTAGAAAGTGACAGAAAATTCACACACTAGAGATACAGAAAAAATTTAAATTATGTATTAGGCAACAAGTCCAAAATGTAAGAAGATACAGAAGAAATGGTCAAATCTATAAAATGTGGAAGAGTTAATGCAAATTCATCCCTCTTTGTCTTCTTCCCTTATTCTTTCCTCCCTCCCTTTCTCTCTAGTAACTAGATAAACAATAAAATGAATTTTACATTTCAGAATTTAAATAATGTGGTTTAAAAGTTTGACCTACATCAAAATTCACAACTCTCATCTGTATCTGTATCTATATCTGACCATTCAGTGGCCTTGTATCTCTGTATTAGTTCTCCAAACATCTGCCTAACACTTACCTCTTGCAAGTGAAGAAGAAACACTTGAAATTTATTATATGTGGTAATAAGGTAAATCTCAGTTAATTCTGGCTGATTAAATTCATACTGAAAACATTCTGAGATAGGAAAACCTTTGAAGGCTGACACATCAGCAGTATACTTGTAAGTAGATAATAAGTCAGAGCAGAATGTCACAGTGGAAATAAGAAAATGGTTCAAGCTAAGTGACAATAATAATCTACAACCAAGACATGTGGGATGCATCTAAAGCCACAATGAGAGGGAGGATCCATAGCTTAACGGTCCATTAGAGACAAGGGGAGCTTTACATTATCCATCTACACTGGTAAACGAATTCTTAAGACACCAACAAATGCAATAAGAAATCTATAAGAAATGAAAGGAGGTACACAACGAAGATGAAGGCAGAAACTGAGTACAGGAAATAACAATGTAGTAGAGGAGAAGAACAAGAAAGGCCTCAACTGGTTCTTTATCTTGTAACAATAATAAAGAAGAGGTGGTAAAGTTGAGAGAGTTGGGCTAGGGAGGTATGGAGAGGGGAGTCTGGGGTAGAAATGACGTAAGCACAGTACTCATATATGAAATTCTTATTAAATTCTAATGAAATAAATTCTAATAAAATCAATGTTAAAATGGTAGAACTTGTGACTCTTCAGTAAGACAGATCAAGATAGCTACAGAACACAACCTGCCACTATCAGTGAAGAGATTTGATCTTTGTCTTTTTAAACACAGGGTAGATCATAAACCCTAATGTCAAAACCAAAGCTCTAAGAGTTCTGGAAAATTCCTGCGGGAGGGACACTCTTTGTAACTTTGTGTTCGGGAAAAGAATCCTTGGGTATACATTTCATAACAAAGATAATTGGTGAACTGGTGAATTAAATTTAACCAACCTTAAGAACAAAACAAAGTGAAAAGTGAGACATAGACAGAGAAAAGCACTGGAAAGACCCCCACCTAAAAAAAAACATTTATCCAGAATTCAGTTTTTCCTACACTCACAACAGGATGGTGTTCAGGTAGACCCATCATACTTTGAAAACACAAGTTGAATATTTGTAAGAATACCCAACTTACTCAGAACATTTATGTGTGACCGCCAAAATGTGCAAATCAGCAACAAGTCAGTTACCAGGGGAACAGATAAAGAAACTGTGATATACCTATGCCACAAA